GCGTCCCTTCTCCCGTTCGCTATGGCTATGCATCGATGTTACTTCAAGTTATAGGTATAGTTTAGCTGTAAGCAAACGATATCATAACATAAGCTGAGAAAATGGAAAAAACAAGTTAACAATTTCTTCAGGTGCCTTTTTTCGATGAACCCTGATATTGTATTTCGTTTAGAGTAATACTACGATCAGGCTCAAAGAGCTGAAACGATAAACATTTACATCTTATTCAACAATCGCAATCATAGTCATTTTATTTTTCACTAACGAAACTTGCGCCTACATAACTAAACTCCCATCACAACTGTAACTGACTCAAACGATCATCTGCTCTTCTAAATAATTGCGCATTTGGTCAGGGAACATTCCATCGAATGATGATTTCACTTCACTCAACGGACACGATGACAGCTTATGGAATCGGCTGTTAGACGCGTCGTTCCCATATTTCCGGCTAAGGCACATGTATACTGTCACAAGAGACGGGTGGACTCATAAGTTTGCCATTATATTTAAATACTCAGCGACCAAATATTAAATTAGTCGGCACTACTAGACCCTAAGTAGTGCTGACCAATATAATTACACCGTAACATTTCTTGTAATTATGCAATGCATACATCGAGGTCTGTTATCAGAGGTGTGATCAATGAATAGTTCCCAATTGAAAGAAATATTCGTTGGCTCATTAAGGAAGGCTAATCCATAATCCAGCACGTGGAATAATTCCAGTTTTAGCTTCAATCTTTCATTTGATTATACTACTCGGTAAAGTGTAATGTGAACGTGAGCGATCAATACTAACCACTGCCTATTAGCCTGACTTCAGTCTTCGAAAGTTTGTACCGATTACATGGAGGCTACAAAATATAATTGTGAATTTATGACTGATTTATACCCGGATAAGAATGAATAGATCCTAGTCTTGTTTACCGCAAAAAACTAACAGCGAATTTCTGGGTATATTGTACCCGAACATTACAGTGACAAAAGTTTGTATGAGAAAAAACCAAATTTTAAATAACAGCTTCTATCCCCCGAAACGATGATAGCAATGTGTATGGAATTCAATCGCACAGAAAAGATTTCAACTCAAGTGCAGAATTTATTAGTAAAATAAGTGAAACATCATTAAAAGAACTGAGAATAAATGTGAACAGATTAAATAGGAAACGAAAATGATAAAATCAGTGGTAATATAAGTAGAAGTGAAGTATAAATGAACGAACAACATGAATCCCATAGAAAAGAACAATAAATAAAATGTGCAACTTTCATAAAATCAAAAAACCTCGCCATCCACCGAAACAATTTTGAACGACCGATTTATTTCCACTGCACAAACACGCATCAACTCCATAACAGTCATACATTGATATTTGAACAAATTAACAAGACAAGAACAATAATCAACATGTTAACAAATGACAAATTAACAACTTCAAACAAGTTTGAACATTTTATTTAATAATGCCAACTTAGTTGTATCACCAAGCTTCTTATATTTATCGCTTTTTGACAACGCCTTTATTTCTTGAGCAGTTTTGAATTTACGAATACATGCATCCTAGAATGGGTGACATAACGATTACAGTGAGAATAAATAAATGAATTCTTCAGAACATTTCCCTTCAGAAATCTATTCACAATTCGGCAATTCCTTGGTATCATAACCCTAAAACGATGCTGACAACCAAATTCTTCAGATGAAATAGTATTTTTCTATCGTTTTCCGAATTCCTTGGCAGAAGAAAGCATAACCGAATCAAAACTCGATTGTTGAAGTTAATTCTACCTGAAGTTTCGCCAGACGATATTGATCAGCCCAAATCAGTTTGGTCATTATTTCAACCTCATCAGATCGCAACAGATAATCCTCGCATTCATCCATAACGTATTGAACTTCGAATTTATTGCTTAACTCCAATAAGTACTCAACATTTTCATCTGAAAAACATCACACTAGAGAGGCCTTGATGGAGAAATGCAATGAAATATTTTCCCAAAAATCGGTGCCCACCTAACGCAATCAATTCTTACGGCAATTGCTGAAATGAAAAATCAAAAATAATGACAATGATAATTTTTGCCAGTACCAATAATGACAAATAATGACAATACGAACTCGATACAGGTTTGTGCGATGGATAAGTGACATTCAACATTTCAACGAATTCTTCAATAATAACATCTTTAATCACGATTTCATCTTTGTCTCGTTCAACAAAATCCGAAAAGAACATCGCACGAAACACCGGAGAATAGACTGCCAAATACTGAAATTTTCAACGTCAGTGTAACTTGTAATCGCCAAAAGCATACACTCTGGCTACAGAGCAAACGTGAAGCGATGTATGAATCAAGTGATTGCTGATAAATGTGTAAAATTATTGAAATCCATAGAGAAATTCAACCGATACTAACCCCTTTGTTAACATGAAGATGCACATCACCAATCACAATCACTCCATCCGATATACGTGGCTGTGGAACTGTGAAATCGAAAGACGGTTTGATGCTGAAATGAATATTTATTGCGAATCAAACAACTGCAGTGAATAAAGAAAATGAATTTCTTTATTTATTCATTTATTTAGCAAATCCAACTCATTACGATTTTATGTCTTTCTGTTATCACCAATACCACATTCTAAATTTGTTCTGAATTTTGAATTCTAAATTAATCCGATTGCTACGGATCTACTCGGTTTCATTAATTGTTTATTAATGATACCGAAAGATTACTGATTTACTACTGTTAGTTGTTCCAAATACTGATTTACTACTGTTAGTTGTTCCAAACAGCTACTCTGAACAGTCATTGGACGAATGTTCAGTCGATCAATTGGAATATATTTTCGGGTTCCTTTCGGTCCCTCTGCCTATAAATCATTGGGCAATATGGGAGTAGCCCAAAACCTCTGTGCTCACCAAATCAGTAATCCAAATTAGAATTTCATAAAGACAGAGGAGAGAATGAATATAATATCTTATTTAAGAATGACTAACAAGAACAATGAGCGATGGTCTGCAATTCAAGACAACAACTGCGATTAATAAGCAAAACAAGACACAAAAATTTGTATTATGAAAAAAGACAATCGCAGGCATTCCAGTTTACTGATATGGTCATTTATTTTGTGCGATCTCGCGAGTTGAACTAGAAGATGATGAGTTGTGTTCAGAACTGAAAGACTATCTGAGATGAAATTATTGTAAACAAAATAAAACTGTGCCTGATTCCAGCAGTTTTTTGGACACTGATATGTGCCTCCACAATCACTTCATTTCCATTTCTGTATCCGTTATTATCATTCCAAACATCGGCCCATTTCATAAAGGATGAGATTCCCATAGATTTTGTGTCACCAGTCAATTTCTGCGTTAACTAAAACAACGATTGTAAAGCATCTTATCATTGTAATACTTTTATTATCATTCTGATAACATCCAATAACTTCACTGAATAAACAGCGAGCAAGTGAGGAATGTTACTGGGAAGGAAAACACAATAGATAATGTTATCCTGTTTCAACTAATTCCATGAGACTTCACATTCGTATGACCAAAGCGGTCTGACGAAATAATTAGAAATAATACGTGCCTTACGACTGAAGTTCGGTGTGCCCGATTTCTGAGATACGAGTTGAAAATCCACAGTTGCGTAACAACTCCATAAATTCGACTCATTTTCTGGATTGCAGGTTGCACTGATGTTGAGGTATGCAATGGATTCCGTCCGTTCCGAGCACTCCAACTTGGCTTCTAAAACCCTAAAAGAAGAATTACATCAATCTCAAACTGCATTCCCGAAATTCAAAATCGTAAAATTAGAGCTCGTTAAACAAGCGATTTTTGAGCATTTGTTCATCCATAATACCAATTGTCTTCGTTAGAATAACGCCGTCAAAACGTCATAAATTCAGCCAACTAATTCATGCATCGAGGGATCGTTCAATAATTATGATACGGTGCATTGCATTCGTTGCATTTCTTAGGTGGATTCACATTCAGTCTTTAAATGCCTCCACTATTTTGCAAACACCATGAATTGAGCGTATGGCAAACGACCCAGATGGTACTGATGCATTATTGAGCAATAATGAGATCAAAATTGGGCGCTACTGTTTTCTAGGAATATTGAAGGAGATTTTAGAGATATCTGATAAAATTCCGGTACAAATGAGCTGGAAAATGACACAAATGTTCGACCATATTACACAACCTTCACTACATTTCTCGCGGATTTCAGTATATAACCTCCCGAATCCGGTGGAGTTCGGCAAAATGAACTGTCGTTCTCCAACTGCGTTACCACTTTCCATCACTTTGTCATCCTATCTCTCGATGTATTTGATCATAAATCCCGTCAGATTTAGCTTCAGGCTATAGATTAAAATCAGCTCGGCTTTGAAGCAAATTCAGGATTGAACGGATGACTGAATGCAACATGACCGAATGACGCATTGAAACATATAATAAGGAATGGAACGATAGATGAATGAAGAATCAACTTTACCAAGGTAAGCCCGCAATAGTATTAATTGGTGACTTTATATCCTTGAAGAATTCAATTGGTGTAGCCAGGATATTCAATTGTACTGCACCCTCCATTATTCGGCGTTGAAGCACAAGAAACGCTGATAACAGCGTATTGATATTACTTAATGAAAATACTGATTAATTTTAATTCGTATGTTGAAGGATTGGTGGATGATTACCGTAGGCGATCGGCAGAATGTGATTTGGTGTTACGATTATGAATGACATCGTCATTCGGCCATTTTAAATGATGTTAAGCGATAATCATTTTTGGTGGGCCCTCAAGCGATAATCATTAACCTACTGATCGCTATTGATCTATTTATTAAGAGTTGATCTATAAAGATTATTGGATTAGACTATTATTATTGGTTACTTTCAACTCGGAACGATGACTGAATGCATGTTCACACGATTAATCGCAGTGTATTTCTGGAATATCGGGCGGATCTGCCTAAACATCATTGGACAGATTGGGAGAGTGGACCTATACCTCTGATCGATAAACAAGATCTCATAGAGGCGGATAGATTATAATCTCTATGCTCTTATTGTTAGCTGTTTGGAAAGAAGGACGTCAACGAAGTAAGAGTGAGATGTTTGTGGTAAGGAAGAGGCCTAAAATTCAAGTAAAACCATTTCAACAACTCAACGAGCAATAAGAACTACTGTGAAAGCAATTAACAAGGCCACCAGTCGTTCGAGGGAGCACTTTCGTAACGTTTGTAAGGAGTCCAACTAAGTGGAACCATAAAAAGCGAATCATTTCAAAGAAACAACCATAAACTCTTCATACATTAACAGTTATACTCGTCCGACACAAACCCACAAGCAGATCTGTCTACTGCAATAAAGGCCCTTGTTTGCAATAAAATCTTGTAAGATTTCGATAACATCGTAATGGCATGAACTTCATCATCATTGCTTGCAGGGGAAGTATTTGTTACAAACAAGTGATGATGAAGTATACGTGTTGAATGGCCATAAAGCAAAACCATTCAGTTCGAACATTATCGGATACGATGATTCCTCGGTTACACTAGATACAAACACGACTTGTGGTAAATTCAGCCGATCGACTGCTTGTGCATGTTTACACTTATGAATACACAAAGAAGGTTCTTAAAGGGATAAAGCTTTTTTATATGCTACTCATTCGCATGTGCACATTGCGGAAGATTTCATTCTGTGATATCCGCGTAATATTAGTTTGAATCAAATGCCATAACGCTATCCCATACGCTTCTTTCGTCATCGCTTCCCTCATTAGACTCCTCCATGTTTCATGATTCATCACTCACCAGTTGCGACGTACATCCCCGAACTGCACCATACAGCAACAAAAATTTAATTGTCGCGGAAAATCGGGGAGTACGGCGAAATTTCGTGGAAAGCCGACAATTCCAGAAATGTCGGGACGGAAAAAATCGAGACGACGCTTTTTGGGGACGACATCGAAAATATACACGACTCGAAAAAGGTCGAGAACGGGGATCCGGGAACGAGGACCCCGAAATTCCCCGATCCATGCACCACACTATTGTATGCAATATAGCGTTCATGACTGCAAGTAGAATCATATCTCGATTTGACGCAAAATAGCGTTCTCTCTCTATTGAATCAGTTTTTTTCAAAACATTCCGATGGAAAACTTATCCCCGCTTCATAAGAACGCTCAAGGTTAAAATAGAGCGGATGATCATGGAATTGAATTGTACGCCTAAGTCAGATCAGTGAAACTGTATATGTCGCCCAATGAAACCATATTGATAATGCCATTTTGAGTGAAATGATCAAATATAAAAAGGACAGTTGCGTGATATTTATGATTAAGGCTTTTGATCGATTATTTTCATCAATATGGATCGTAAATCCAATATTCAGGATGAGCACTTTATGAAATCCTCTGATATCTCGGCAATACAGTTCAGTTGCGAGCACTTACGGCACTATTCTATTATATTGTACTTTTGCAACGATTACAGCAATTTTAGCATCTTTCCTGCCAAATAGATCAACATACCTTTTTCCTATACCATTCCAATACAAGACTGGAAGGTAGTGTTACATGGATGGAGTGCTTTTTAAATTCTCTATCAAATATTCCTCTATAGTAGACATCTTATATGATCACATAATTATTTTAAACAGGAATTTTGAGGAGAATTTTTTTGCGTTCTTTTTCATCTTTTCCTATTTCCTTTCAATTTCCCCATTTGTTTCCTTTTCCTTCTATCTTTTCTCCATTGGCTCCATCCTCTAGAAGGAGCGTCCTCCCTGGCTATTACTTTATGCACCAACGGTACTTTAGGCCGTACTTATAGTGCGATGTAAACAAAAGAAATTATCAAAAATGCAAAAATGAAGGAAACGAAGTTACCAAGCCCTTTAAGTATTTTTTCTACATGTCATGATATTGTGTACTGTTTGGAGTAATAAATACTATGAGCAGGCTTAAAGAGCCGAA